TTACTTTCCGTATATCACAATTTGTTCAATTCGTGAGGTTTTAGGTGTATGCAACAAAATAAAACGCAAAGACAAGGGTCTATAATTAATTCTAATTATAATTAGACAAGGGTTCCAAACACGGGTGATGTTTGATACAAAATATCCGTTATGTAAACAAAATATTTAAGTTATTGGTTAATTTATTCACTTTGACCCATGTTCTTTACTAACGAATTTGGTTTGGTATTTTTTGTGGGGAAAAGAAAGATATTTGTTAATTAACTATTTTAAAGATAAAGACAGGCTTGTATAAAGGTTACGTCTGCATAAAAGGGTTATCCAATTAATACTATGGAATACGGTATGTTTTATTGTGAACTTGTAACCAAGTAATTAAGCTTCAATGACACCTTTTTTTTTTATCAAAGGATAATTTATTATAAAATCAAGATACAAAGTATTCAAGGGATCTCAAAGCATTTTTGGCCAAGCAATCAGCCTCACAATTGGTTGTACAAAGGGTAAATTTAAAAGAGATCAAACGAAAATCAAAAGCCAAATCTCGAATATCAAATAGAACTCCATATAGTTCATTATAGGCTTCTCTTGTCTTCAAGATATTCACCAATGTCAGTGAATCCAATAGCACATGTAGTTCCTCAAACTTCTGATCTTTAGTCTGAGTTAGAGCTGCCTTTATGGCTTCTGCTTCCGCCGAGAGGGCCGAAGGAACATTACCAAAGCTGGCCGTGTCTTCACCAAACTGTTTCTCTGAGACAGCTTTCAAAGCCCACCCAACACCACAGTTTAAAGTAGTTGAGTTCCATGTTGTATCGACAAAACAAAGTGTTCCCAAAGTAAATTCAGTATCTAGAGGTTGCGTCGGAGGGAAAATTCGATGTTGTGGTTTCAGAACTTGAGCCGTCTGCCAGCTTCTCGCTTCAACTAGCTTTGTCATTACTTCGCTCTCCGAGAAAGTTCGGTTTGAGAACATAAGATTGTTATTAAAAATCCAAAGGTTCCAAAAGACCCAAGCAAAGAGGACAACATTTGATAGACTTGTTGGTGGAAGGTTACGAAAATGGTTTGCTATCAGTGATGAAACTACGTATGTCAGGTAGTTGGGAGAAAGGTCTAATGTTAATCGGAACCAAATCCCAAACCTTTTGAGCATAAGGACACAAAAACAACACATGATCTGCCGATTCAACTTGTCCACATCTTAGACAAGTACCATTGACTTGAATCCTCTGTCTTGTTAATAGCTCTTCTACCGGTACAGCTTTGAAAACCGCTTTCCACAAGAAACTTTGAATCTTTTGAAGGGTTTTGACTTGCCAAATACTCTTTTGCCAATTGAAAGATGGAGGTAGAACAACATTTGTAGCTGTAACCATAACCGATTTTGGTAGAGAATTTTCTAATCTTTGTCAGTAGCAAGACCAGGGAGTCTGCTCTTTCACAAGGCCTTAGTTTTAGCTTTCTAATCAGTGGCTCATATTCTAGGAGAAGCCGTTGGATAAGCTCCCAATCCCATGGTCGAGTTGAGTTGTTAATCAGGTCAGCTACCCGTAAGTCCTTATTTTTTGTCGATGGTGGTCCGAAGGGGATCTGTGGAAAATCCAAG